TATATATATATATATATATATATATATATATATATATATATATATGAACAAAATTGAAATTCATTGGCTCATGTCTATCTTTTATTCCCCTTCCCTTTGGACACAAGGTGTTGTTCTATGAATCTGTGATCTGCTTGCTTAAGCCTGTGATAGCAGACATGCACCACTATACTTGGCTTTGGTTCTTTTTCTGTGTTTCATCAGGTAGAAATGGATTCTATATATGACTTAAATTTGTTTCTTTTAATCTTGTCTCACTCCCACCCACACCCATCTTACTTGCTGTTTTTATATGCATAGAAGACATACTAGATCATCTTCAGATGTTTATCTTTTTAAAAACCACACCCATCATTTCCTGGTTCTCTGCATATTGTCTGCTCTCCCATTGTTGAAAATACATTTTCTTCCTTAGTTCCTCCTCCCCATGTAGTCTCCATTTTGAACTATATCATAGTTCAAGTGTCTGGGTGGGGGGAGTCTTTTGGAAAGAGTTTCATGAACATCTGCTTTTTGTACCGTGGTAAATTTATTGCTCACTAAATGGTACTTCCCCATGATATTGCATCACACTTATTTATTTGAATATTAAGATTAACCACTCCTCTCTTGTCACTCAATATTTTCAGAGAGGAGAAAAACACAGTATCTACACATAAAATGTCTGTGGTGTGTGTACTGCTTTCAGTTTGCTAGAGTCTAATTACAATTCCCATTCTTGACGAGGCTACTACCCACCAGAATCCTTTGGCAGGAAAGACATATAGCAACACAGAGCACCAAGGAACCAAAGCACCATAGCTCTGTCTTTTCCAAGTCTGTGTTCATAATCTTAGCTCAGTTCAAGTCTGGATAACGTCGTCTGCTTGCTTCATCCTTCCAGCTGGCATTTACATAGAGAAGCTTTGGAAGGCAGGGAAGGGGGCAGACCTTTGATGTCAGAAAGCATCTTCATCTATAGAACATTTCTTTCCCTCAGCTTCTAAAACGGACAAAGTGAGCATCATGTTTGTTGAGAAAACAGCTTTAGATGCTCATGATGTGAGCAGGAGCTTTATTTCATTAACCTTTGTATCTCCCAAGTCTACTAAGCAATAAGACCTCAGTACCTGTCGAACAAATAGCCCAGAAGAAGAACGACTACAAAAGATGATGTATGTACTCACTTTTTGTTGATACCTAACATTTTGAGACCTAGGCTGTCAATGGATTATGGCCTCCTTGGCTAATCTTACATCTTACATTACAAATAAAGTGAAGGCTAACAGGACACAGAATTGACACTTTCTTTAGATTTTATGCAGGTGAAGCAAACAGTATGCTGTGGATCTCTGTTACTTTCTCAGCCCTTTGTTGAACTTGGTTTATTCTGTATTTGCTCAACAGGGTCATCTGTCTCCTCAAGATCAATGGTTTCTCTCACCACAATATTCTTGCCAAATTCTTAGAGATTATAGGTTGTTAAAATGATTTTATTTGAGAACAGAGCCATTTGGAATTAGGTATGAGACTGATTGAATACACTGTAGTGTTTCTTTTCATCATTCTATATAGAGATGTTTAAAAGTGAGGTGCTACATGACAAGAAGAGATGATTACCAAAAGGTTTTTTTTTTTTTCAGTTTGCCAAGCTGTGACTGTTTATTAACTGACCAGATTACAAAAATACCATGGGCAACACCTTAGTTCATCCGTCTAATAAGCCTGTTTATCTGGTCTTCCCTGATGCCAGCATTGCCACCTTCCACAAAATGAGTTGTCTTTTTCTTCATTCCACCTCGTGGAGAAGATAATTGGAAGGGCCACGGGAAGTTATTCTCTTTCTTGAAGCGTTTTCCAACTGTATAGATCTCATGAGTTAGATCCTCCATGCAGATGATGCCATATTTACCAAGAGACCGAGCAATCAAGCAATTGTCTGTCAAGGCAATTCTCTTCTTACTGATTTTTCCATAGCCGCGCTTGTAGATGAGCTGTTTGCTGACTTAAGGTTGGGGTACCCCCATGCAATGTATGGTTCCACAATCCTCAGCATGTTAATTGAAGCCTTCTTGAGCTTTACATTGGTGCCTTTGAAGATCTGA